AAAATTGTTGGCATGGCGGTAGACCAGTAAAACTAAGCAATAATTTACTCCAGAAAACTCTGGGAAAAGCAAATAGTTAAGCAAACAACAACAGCAAAAAGTTAGTGATTGAACAATCAGTAAGAAGAGGGCCCACAAACCGGTATGGTCATGATCTGCTGCTCTGGAAATTGAAAATCAGTTCCAGTGATTGTGCATCCATCCTTTCCTTATCTGGGTATGGATCGCGGGGCAGCGTAGCTATCCCAAACTTCCCTCTCTCTGCCTACCATCTCCTTTTTTCTTTGTTTGAATACAGAGGTTTCTCCAGGGCAAGCCAGGATAAATAATCTCTCCAGCATGTTCCCAAAATACATCACCTAGAAGGCATTCAATAGGCAACACAACTCGCAGGATTTGGAAATACAAAAATCAAGGGTTCCCTTGCAATAACAAGGACTGATTGCCAGAGAGAGAAAACCTATCCTCATACAGCTGTCAGTTAAATTTAGAGCATAACAAAATGACTATGATGTGGTTAAAAGAGACAATACAGTTACTGTTTAACAAAATAAATACAGCTATTACAGGCCCCAAACTTTCTCTTTTTCTTCTTCTTTTTTTATGGAAATGGAAAATTTCAAATGTAACGATGACATTCCTCGGATTCTGCAAAGTATTATGGAAGTTCTTGACTCCCTGGAAAAATGCTGGTATGTTCACTTTAGGCCTGTATAAGCAGTAATACAACAGTGTAAATAGACCCAAATACAGTAGTCGAGTAAATGGGTTACTCTCCAGCAATGCACTGGGGTGGCTCGTGTTTCACTTGAGAAACATCACACAAGTACTAAACCTCTGAGTGCAAATTGAGCAAAGGCACCAACATACTCTGAAGCCCTCACAGTTCCTTACTCTCCCACTGGATCGAGATCCTGTGCACAAAACCACTACTATGCCACATTGAAAACAGATGGATCAAATAGTCCTTATCCTTTATTTGGACTGCGCTCTGTTATTGGAAAGAATCTCAGTACGAATTACCAAATCTGGCCGCCTTTCAGGAAAACAAATGGACACAGATGTAGTTTTCCATTTTACAGGCTGTTTATGTCTTGCAAATTCCTTCTCCAGAAGAGTGGGATAGGCGTCTTTCATGTTTTAATGGCTCAGAGTGACCGCAGCCCTTTGTGGCAAACGCTCTGTTCCAATACTAATGACATACAGTCACACAAGACTCTGGCAGCAGTGTGCTGCTGAGGCTGCCTGCCCATTGTGTAATTAGTCTACCACTAAATCCTAGTCTGGGGAAACATTCACAACCACATTAAACACTGACAGTCTTTCACCTCAGAGAGCCTGAAACAGATGGATGCGTTCTGAGGGAGTAATCGAGCACAAATGCCTTTCATCAGTCAGTTAAACTGATAACATTTGTTTTCTAATAATAGGGGGTTCTCTGCCATCACTGCAGGAGTTTGTCTCGAGTTTACAATTTGGACTGCAGACAGACAGTTTGGACAGAAGACGACTGGATGACAGTCTTCTTTTTTTTTTATTGGCATTACATTTCTACAGTAACTTAATCTTTCTCTGGAGTGATTGCCTCACATGTGCTTCTGATAGAGAAAAAAGCAAACCAACCAGCAAAGCTGATAAGTATACCGCAAACCAGAATATCTTGATTTGGACCGTTCAGGTCTTGTCTGGCTTTGCACTTATCCTGTGAAATCCTGCCATCTGGTGGCTCTCACGAAACATTACAGTGAGCTTGTTTGGTGGGCACAAAAAAATGGGGGGATTTTGTAGTTAAATAGATTAGATCAGGATTTCGACCTGCATCTTTTCCACTGACAACATAATGATATTTTCAAGACAGAAGACAAATGTTTGTTTACTATCAAAACAATATTGGTGAGATTCTCGAGTGAGCAAGCGTTGAAATACAAACCCACATCCTCACCACTGAACATTTTAATACAAATAGCAGAGGCAGCTGACGGGCAAATTGCACTTAAGAGTGCTGAACGGGCTCTTCCAGAGGATCTGGAGCAAAAATGTGAGTATATGAGGTAAATATAAATAGTGTTTTGGTTGAGCTGAAACTTTTATATTATATTTTTAATATAGCAACGAAAAATGCAGACGAGTAAAAGTAAAAACTTTTCCACAAGAGGAAAGGCTAATTTGCTTTAATATATAAAACACAACCACAAGTCGTTGCTGGAATACTCTGGTAAATCCTGACTCTGATCATTCCCAAAGGGCAGTGAACTCGGGCCGTTTTGTGATCTCTGATCCAAGTGGTTTCTGCAGACCTTTCTGAAGTGTCTCTTTTACTTGGCAGATCAGAGCAGACGTGAAGGAAAAAAAAAAAAAACATCACTCAGACTTAAATCTTTCCCATTTTGGTGAAGGCCACATTGCGCACATGTCTCTCTCATCTGTCAGATAATGACAGCACTAAGGCTACTTGTCACCTGGGTCAAATGAAAGCTCTCACACCAGAGGAAACCTCTCGGTGACCCGACCTCTGTCTGGGAGCGTGACGCGTTAATCACAGCAGTAAATGACGCCAAAGCAAGAAGCAGGCGCTGAGGTGTCTCCCTGAACGGATCTGCAGAGAAGTCTTAGTTTCATGTCAGTCTTCCTGATGGGCTGTTAAAAGCCATCAGGGCGCTGTGATCTCAGAGCGCACTGCAGTGAAAACACATATGGTTCTGGTTGAGGCCGGGGGAAATTGGATTAAAGAAATTCTTCTTGAAACGCTCGGCATCGTTCTTGCCATAACAACTGCAAGCAGCTGACAGATGAAACCACAAATCAGCCTGAAACTAATATTTAGCTTCTCTTTTTCATGTCGACTCAGTCACAACAGTGGAAGACAAGCCAGCTGGAGGGGACTGTGCTGAACAGTGGAGAGAGGTGAGTGGAGGAAGGCTCTCTGGATGTGGACAGATTATTATATTTCTTACCTCAACAAGGTGAAATGATTACAGCATGAAAGCGTGTTTCGGGGTTCATATAGTAAGGCTTTATTTGCACACGGGTCCCTGATTGTTGTTTTAAGACAGGCTTGAAAATTTGCGGCCCTATAAATTGTCCCTCAAGTGGCCAGAAACTGTTCTTAGGCCTGAGCGCAGCACATGCTTTCCATCACACAGATGTTATTCCACCGCTGGCAGTAAAAGAGTTGGGTTTGCTCCCTTTGTTCAGATCATCAGAGCAGGAGAATCATCTCAACCAGCGTGAGAGGAAAAAGACAGGTGTCTACATTTGAAATGATTCTTTAAGTGGAGCATTAAAGGCTTCACAGAGAACAGCCTTTTAGGTGTTTAAATTAAGACCATCTGTCCAGTTCATACTAAGTAAGTCATCAGTTACATTTAATTTCTGCAGGAAAGAAGGAATCTTGGCTGCGGCCCTGATCCGGCACTTAGCTGAAATAAAGCAGAACAGGCCTGGTGTGGCTGACACTCAAATATCCCTGTCTAAACAGCACAGACCGAGACAGGATGATTTAAAAGACTAATTAAATCGTTGTTAATCCTAGCTGAAGACAAATATTTTCACAGTAGGCGTTTTGATTGATCATAAGAAAAGCACAGGTGTTGCTACTAACCTTGCTGATAGCTCAACAATGAGTCATGACAATGAGACAGCGTGCACAAAACCAGGACCCTGAAACTGAGCTGAAATTCAGGCACAATTGATTTTCTACACCAGCCCTGTCACAATGCCTCTGTAAATGTAATAGAGGTCATTTTGTAAAGTACATATGTTCTTCTAAATAAAGTTGAGTAATTTCAACTTTGAACAAAAAGTATTAACAGCAATTGGTTGTAATGACACAATGCATCCGTTTTTTCCCCCCTTCCTTCATGGAGTGTAAAGATTTCTGGGTATCCAAATGTTTAAGTTCAAATAATTCACTTGGAAGAACTGTTATGGTCAGTGGAGTTATTTCAGTTATTTAGTGCAGACTTTGGGTGCAATGTGGTGTGATTTATCCAAGAACAGCACTAAAGTTTAGAGGGTGATCTTTTTAAAAGACTAAACCTCATGTGGTCAACTCCATCTTCAGGCTAGATACCAAATTTTAGTCCATATTGACATATTAGCATCACACCGTTGCAGATTTGAGGGCTGCACATCCATGATGTCAATATCCCATTCAACCACATCCCACAGATGAACTGAGATCTGTGGAGGCCATTTGAATACAGTGAACACTTTGTCATGTTCAAGAAACCAGTTTGAGATGATCTGATTATGGGAAATTGTAGCCAAGAGGATAAAATGACAACCAAATGCCAAATGTGACAACAGTATAAAGCTTGTTTTCTATAGCATATATTTTATATAAATGTATTTTAACAGTAAATGTTGTAGATTACAACAGGCACAAAATAGCCGTTAAAATATTTAGATATGGTTTTAAATATTTCAGTGCAATGGCACTGCTGCATTTGTTACACCATCAAATGCCCCACATACACTGTTAGATAAGCCAAGTAATGGCTCATTCACATGACAGAAGTAGATGCAACTTTAATCTTTCTGATTTGGCTCTGCAGACCTCAGACATAATACTTTTCTAAAAATTATTTTTTTATTTTTTTAAACACCATGTACTAATTAAAAATTTGGTCTTTAAAATGACTAAATGTACAAGTTGTGCATTTAAAAGCTCACTGTGTTTCAGTGTTGAGTAATTTACATGTTTACATAAAATACTTGAAATGAATGAAAACTAAATGAGAGCAGAATCAAAAGATGGAGAAAATAAGTTGTCAAGCACTAATGTTTGCACTTAAAACCTCCATTTGTATTACGGATCTTTTAAAAAAAACCAATATCTTCTATTAAGTACACATTTCCTAAAAAGGCATTAAGGGGAAAAAAAAAAAAAGTCCTAGCGTACATTCATTGCATAAAAGAAAAGCTTTGTTATTGGTCCTTGCTCATTAACTATGACGCTGGGTAAAAGAGTGAAATTCAAGTAAAATTAAACTTGAGCGAAAAGTGCAAAATAATATTTAATCTATTAAAAATATTTACAGCATATTATACAACTGACTTGTCTTAACGGGTTTCATATATTTCAACAAAATATATGAAAAGAAATCTGTACCTTGGTTGTAAACAACTAATCACATCTTCATTTTGATTTTTGTAACGCTCCCATAAAGCACTACATTTAAAAAACAAAACAAAGGATCTTCACGTAAACACGTCTTTAAACAAAATGTAAATGTAAGGACAAACATCTGGAGAATGGTTTTATTAGAAAAATGGTGACAGCCTACATGACAAATTAAGCCAGCATCTGAATTAAAACAGGGAACGTGAAATTCTTCTCTCTAAAGAGAGAAAAAACCCCAAACAAAAAAAAAACTACAAAGTGGTACTCAAAAACATACCAGTACAGGAACAGCATAATCAGCAGCTTTCCACATGAAAGAAAATGGATTTGTCCAGGGATTAGTGTGACATCTTGCTCCAATTCTCCTCTACATCGTCAACAGATCTCTCACAATCCGCTCTCCAAAGGCGTTTTGTGAAAACATCCTTTCAACTGGGAAGAATGTCTCCAAACGTCAACACACAAAGCCTTCTGATCCGAAAATAAAAAAAACCTTACACTGCCTTGCGGTGGTACTCTGGAGGGGCAACTTCATAGTCGCTTGCATTGAAGAGCGATGCAGAGTTTTTTACAAGATACCTGAAATGAAGAAACATTTTACTCATCTCTGCTGAGCTTTGATAATCATCATGAGCCTCGTTAAGATTCCTGAATACTCACTTGAGGAAGTCCTGTAGGTAACTGAGCAGCAGTGCAAGGCTCTTCTCATCCAGGGGCGTGTACGCCAGCATGGCTCCGATTCTCACTTTCAAAACCAAACAATGACAGCCTTTTATAAGTCATGTGACCACTGACCTCAGTTTCATTTATAACAGCTCATTGCAAAACCATGCCTCACCCGCACACTTTCAATTTAAAGCAGCCCTTATTTTTAAATGTTGATGCTTGCATATATATGTGTGTGTGTTTAATACACACACACACACACACACACACACACACACACACACACACAAAAGGATAAAGTCGGGACTAGACAGAGAAGGTCAACACCTCTACACTACTACTGCTTAAGCAAAAATCAACACCATCTAAAGGAGGTGTGTGTGCAACACTTCTCTCAACAAATGTTTTACCGAGCTTATGTCATTTGACTTTATTTATGATGCTTTGTTATGACAAGAAATTAACTGAGACAACATACCCTGTAATAAACATGGCATCGCAGTCAGGGCCATAGGCTTTTGGCCAATCACAAACCTCTCGCAGTTTTGTCTCTGTACACTGCCACAGGAGACTTTAGTCATATCTTAATTTATTTTAAAGTGTAGACTCTCAGTTATAACTGTTTATCAAGACGTATAAATCATTTAGGAGTTGCAGCTATTTTTCTATCAAGCCCCCGATTTTCTGAGGGTCGTGAAGGGATTAAAAGATCTGCATGGGGGGGGGGCGGCTGCAAGCTTCAACCTGCCACACACATGTAGCTCTTGCAATGTGTTTGTGTTCAAGTGTGAATAACTAAGGGTGGGCTGCATTCAATTTTGAACAGTTCTCATACTTATGTCAGTTGGGTAATGAATTGCTGCGTTTTGCCTTTTGTTTCTTTTGGTTGGATTATCTCCATTTTGAATCTGTGGACAGATTTGCTTGATGTTCTGGCCTCAGCTCACCCCAGAGTTAATTCACCAACTTAACAAGTGGCTTTTGTGGCTCCTTGGAACTTCGTGTTTTGTCCATGCCAGCCCTAGATGGGGTATAAACAGCCTCCAAGCTATCAATTCCTTTTTATGATTGATGCTGGCATATATTTTTCTGATTTCTCGGGCACTGCCCTGACACTAAACACCTGTCTAGGCCCAATCTTATCTTCACAAAGCATCCATAAAAGATGGACCGAATCCAGAAAAGAATCTGACCTTTTATAACCTTAATTATGACAATGCCAATAGGGAGTTATTTTGGGCTTAGTCCAAGTTGAGAGATGATGAAGTTGAAAAACTTTTGGCTGTGCCTTCAAACTGTGGTTACAGTGGAAATAATACCTCCCCCAGATCAAAGAGTTAATTTCCAGTAACAACTGAATCATCAAGAGATTTTACAGTCAGCTCTTTCAACACAAGTGAAAAGGCAGATAATCTTTTTTAAAAAAGCATCTTTGCATCTTTGGAGTTTTATGGTAGAAACAGCTCAGTGTTTAATATGTTAAAGCTTAGACAAAAACATGTTCAATCATTTTTGTGCATTAAGACCTACAACACACATCTGATAGTTTTATAATATACATTTGCTAATGGTTTATATGAATAATTTGATAAGAAAACAGGACAATCTTTAGCTCTTCTACACAGTTTTCATTGTCTAGTTCTTTCACCAAACATGATGATGTGTAAGTGCTTTTACCAAAGAGTCTGAGTAGGTGAGGAGCCCCATAGATCTGAGACATTGGTGTATCTGGGTGGTTGGCAAGGATGTCTGCGTACTGAGGCCTCTCGAATTTGTAGAGAAGTTGTGTCCCCAGCATAACATTGAAATATTCACGGACACCAGCAACCACCTCGTTTACAGCAAACTCCCTGATCAGTGAAGAGAAAACAGAAAAGTCAAATCTTTACTCTTAGTATTTGTTCACCATGTCCTAGAAACATTTTAAATAAAACATTTTCTCTCTCTGCATTGCTTGCACCATAAACAGTTTTGCTTGAGAAGATGAAAAGTAGAAGTTTTTACTTGCTGTCTGAGTTTCCTCTTGATTTCTTGTAGTTTGCATAATCTTCAAGGACTGCGTCAACATTTTTTTTGGCAGGTAGGTGGAAAAGCTGAAGAAAAACAAAATAGAAAGAAATAACTTTGGAAATGTTGTAGACAAATACAATGTATAAAATGCTGTGAAGTGAAACTTGAGTTTAAGGTCAGTGCTTACTAACCTGCTTTTGCCGTGTAATCAAGTCCCAGTCGTCCACAAGCCAGGGTTTCAGCTCCTCCGGGATTTTCACTTTGACCTCCACTCGATTTATGAAAGTTTCCTCCTGAGTAAACAGGAGTGCGGGGGGAAAAAAAAGAAAAAGTTAATTAAAAGAAAGCTTTTAACAATCATGTTTACACACCTAAATGGAAACCAAGCCTCAGAAACATTTCATAAACAGTGGTTTCAAATGTAGTTCCTGCTACACTGCTGCAACTGCAGTGAATTAAGGCGTTTTTACACCTATAGTTTGTTAACTCTGGTCTGATGCAGTTCATGAATTTGTAAACTTGTAGCTTTTTCCCATGGTTTCGTCTCTTTTCACACAGAAGATGCCAATCAAACTCCAAGTGAGCCAAAATGCGTCACTAAAAACGATGCAACAATGTTCGGTATGCTTACTCGAGTCTGGAGTGAGAGCAACAAAAGTAAATACAGGAAACAGGTGCTGTGGTCTGGAATAGTGGATAACATGGAAAATTTAGTCCTAACATTTGTATTTTATCTGGTTAATATTTCACAGTTTATACACGCTGCAACACTCCAGAATGCAAAGCATTCTCGGCTATAGCAAGGTGTTCCACTCAAACCTATAAACAACCATAAACAAACCGCTCTGAAGTTTGTTTGAAACCAAAGAAAGATCAGCTCCCCCAAAGGGTTTCAGTGCGGTTGCTCTGGTCTGCACCCAAGTGCGATTACTTTGTTCTCATAAACCACATGAGGAGAAAACAAAGCAGCCTTAGGGCTTTTTTATGGTTGCCGCGTCGCTTGTGTAGTCTCTTGATAATTTTCACTTCACATCTTGTGCCATGTTGGTCGGTCGTGCACCTCTTGATTTTTGCGACTTGGTGCGTTGTGCTCGGCTGAGCTTGTCAAAGGAACTTTGCAAATAAAACAAAAACAAAACAAAGCTTTGACAAAGCTTTGGTTTCCCGGTTTGACTTCTCCCCATCAGCGCATATGACAAGATAGTGTCTGAGTGGCGACACCTATCATTTAGGAGAATACTACAAACTTCTTGCGCCTTAACTGCAGGCATAAATGGCTGCATCTGTGTGATGGCGTGGCAGTGAGCAAAGCGACCACTGCAGCAGGTGTATTGGCACATTAAGCCTGTTCATTTTCGCACAGTCTGGTATTATTTGACATTACCAACAGAAACAAAATTCTGAACTTACGCTTTCCACAGTTGGGTCAACACGAGCTCTTTTCTTGCGTGGAGGATGGGTTGGATCTCCCCCTGAACTAGTCCCTTCTCCTGCTCCAGGAGCTGCACAGACACAGCTTTAATTAACTGCCACTCTTGCCTTATAATGAGTCAATTTTAAGAATCGCATTTATAAATTCTAACATTGTAAGACAATGTGATGTACTTACTCTTCTGTTTGTTCTTTTTGGTTTTCCTACAAACAAAGAAGAGCTAATTAAGTGTGAAGTGTTAATATGAAAAGCAGTTTGGCAGCTTATGTTACAGAGGAAAACAAAACAAAAACTCACACATCGTTTTTCTGCGATGCAGCAGGTATCTTCTTATTTGGCGCTTGACCCCTCATTTTTCCTTCTACATAATGGTCTCTGTATTAAAACAAGTTCAGATATTCAGGAATAATTAATTTGTACCACACTCACTACACTTTCACAAGATTTAAAAATCACTGTAGCACGTGACCCAACACAGTTTTTGTAGTACTATGAATAGGCATGACACATTAGTGTTGGCACTTGCATAAAGGGATTTAGTACACAAATAAAGGGGGGGGTTCTAAGTGGGACATTTACTCGAGCATAAAAATAACAGATTAATGTGTAAATAAAATTACAGGAAAATATTCTATTAAGACTGAATGTGCTTCACTTGTATAGTGACTCCATAGAGGCCCATTGTGAGCTAGACTAAAACTCTGTTGTGTCCCAATACGTTTAAAACATAGCACACATTGTGTGCTACTGAAATTGGATGAAGGATTTTGCCTAACTTGCTCCAACAGTCATAAGGAACTCACAGTCAGTTCAAAGTCGATAGTGAATAGAAAAAGAGTATTGACGTACTGATTGGCCCTCTGAAGCTCTCTCTGTTTCTGCAGATTACTATCCACATACTTAAGCACCCTGCTTTCAGGAACCCATTCGTCCCAGCTGGAAGACACAACATCAAAAGAATGTAAGCACTTGTTAAACAGTTCCTGTACAAACGTTAATCGGGATTTATTGGAACCAAAAACTTACTTCTTATTCCACCCACTGTAATGAATAAAGTATTTGATTTGTTTGTCCTTGATGTTTATCTTAACACACTGCAAAGAGAGGGATGACTCATTGTCAAACACAGACACAAAGAAGACGACTGAATGAGAGACACGCTTAATTAAGGCAGCTTACCTTAGCTTCGTAGAGCAATGGCCCATGAAAACACAGCACTCTTTCACCTGAAAAGATAACAAAATAAGGACGTGAGTAAGGCATTGACAGGAGAGAAGAAAGAACCCCCCCCCCACACACACACACACACACACACACACACGTCTGGTTTGCTATCCTCGTGGGGACATCCCATTGACATAATGCTTTCCCTAGCCGCTTACCCTAACCATCAAAAATGAATGCCTAACCCTGACCCTAACCATAACCTAATTGTAACCCTGGCACTAAAACCACGTTTTGAGTGTGAAAATTGCTTTCAACCCCGTAGGGACCTGGATTTTGGTCCCCACGGTGCAGAAACTCCCCACCAGTATAGTATATGTCAGATTTTGATCCCCACCAGGATAGTACGAACACACACTTGAATTTATTTTAGATGTTGTCCTAACCACACAGGCTCAAGAGTATACATACACTCCTAATATTTGATTGTGTCTCTTAGCAAGCTCCATCTCAACCAGATGCTTTTGGTAGTCATCAACAAGCTTCTGACTGGATATCTGACCCCTCTTCTTAGCAGACTTGGTAGAGGCAATATAAATTTGTTGGATTCCTGGCCAAGACATACGGTACAACTTTTTACTAGGGATGGAGTTATCTGATCATAAAACTTCTCCAGAAGACATTTGACTTGTTCATGTGGCCAACTGCAAATTTCAGTTGATCTTGAAGGTGCTGATTTTGGAGCTGGGGCTTATTCTTGGTCGGCACCCTGTTAGTCCGTAGCAATGTAAAACTCAGTGAAACCACAGTGATGGTGGTATTGCAGCGGTTTCCAGTTCATGGCAGGCTTGAGACTTGGTGGTTTGTGGGTTGTTCAACTTTTCAACTTGAATAAAATTATAATCTTCTTCTTAGATCTTTACCTAGTTACTTAGACTTCTCCAACTGGTCCATCAAAGTCCCATTGTTCAAAGTATTGATTGATTGGTAATTTATTTCAACATGTGAACAATACACAAGTACATTTAGAAAAGAAATAAGAGAGAAAAAAATACTATACAAATTACATACAAAAAACATTCTGATTAATTTACATGTTGAAAGGGAGTGGGAAGAAGTATACACTTATTTAATCCCACCCCTTTGCCATAAATTATCAGTGAATATTTAGTCAGCTTCCTTACTGATATAATTTGTAATAAAAATAGTGAACAGATTTCTGATATACTATATACTATAATATCACATCATGAATTTTTTGTTTGTTTTTAAATAGAGACATTCACTTAATTTAAATATTTTCCTTTTCTTTATAGATCGAGAAGATCATATTTTTTTGGTATTGGTCAGCCCAATTAATGCTGTCAAACAAATGTTTTCCCCAGACAAAAATAAATAAAAAATAAAAACTACCAGTTGTAGTCAGTCATGATCACCAACAAGAACTTAATGCGCCTTGGTCTTGTCATTTAAAAAGACACTGTAGAACCTTAAGCACTACTTAAAAGCTTTAAGTGAATGTATGTATGTATACATTTGAGCCTGTATGTATACTTTGTGTACCACGTTCTTGGTTGTTAAAGTCATTAATGATGTATACTCATTCGTTTTCCAGGGTGGAAAAAAATACCATGGCATTACATGCCCATAACGACTACATATAAACATCTGACCACAACTGCATATTTAGGGAAGTTTACATGAAAACTCGACTATTATCTCACTAATATGACTAACTGTCAAGAGAACATTCTGGTCACTGATAATAAAAAGGAAGACTTTTACTAAATAAATTTAACGTAGTCCTGCTAGTTAATTTAATAACTTAACCACTTGTATATAATTCAACAAATGAGCGCCAAGTCAGCAGCAGGCGGTGCTAACACGCCGTGTACAAAAAAAGCTAGCTAGGACTCAGCTAACAGTCAATGAGAAGCTAACGCTGCATGAATGAAAATATAACCTTCAGTTCAATAAAAGATCTCGAAAACACAGTTTATATAGCTTCTTACTTCTGAAATTGGTTTGTGTAGTAATGACAGGACGAAATAAACCACCAAAGAGGCGAATAAAAACTCCCGAGTCCCATTTAGTGTTCACAGTAACAACAATGAGAGCTAATACGGCTAGCTGTTTGTTACGATCAGTAACTAGCTGACACTTTGAAGCTTTTCGGCGACTCCAGCACTCGCTGCTGGTACAAGCCTAACAGAACAAGAAGGAAACAAACTGTTACCTTCTTGAAATTTAGGTTTCGGGTCCTGTTTCGGCGCCATTCACGGATTAAACTATCAAAATATGGGAAAAATCGCCAGCTCCCATTCCAGTCTGCAGCGGCGCCGCTTTCTAAAAACGTCATGACCGACGCGATGACGCTTTAATGCCCCGACTAAACCCACATCCACACTCCAAATCAGCAATGAATGCAAAACAGGATTTCTTTTCACATTTACCTTACACGTTTCTGCCTTCTGCTGGACTTTTGAAGCATCGGTGTCTGTTAAAAAAAATAAAATGCAGGCTAGACAACAAGTCATGAAACGGCTTTAAGCTAAAAACAGCTGGTTGTGCCCATGTCCTCTGAGACAGACCTGTGGTTTGGCTCGAACGCAAGTGTGCTATTAATTAGTGTCATATGATGAACAGATGCTCCAAAGACTGGTGATTTTATATATATATTATTTTTATTTGGTGTTTGTTTACGTTAAGTAAAAGTTTCAGAGTGGGTTGGCAGGTTTCTGTTAGTTTTTGGTTTTTTTTCAATATTATCATTATTATTATTTTTTTTAAGTGGGGGATAACTGCCAAAAGCAGGTTTTCAGAAGTTCAATATAATATCAATACTGTAAAAATAAATAATAATATTGATCATGAAATGACAATTAACATAAAATTTGAACCAACGCAGTAAATAAATAACTAAATATAATTTTAAAAAGGAGGTAAAATGTCAACAAGGTATGCCATGTTTAGTGTCTGGATTCTGTATACAATGTTCACCAGTTAATTTCTTTTACAGAAACCAGAGACCAGGGTAGAAAAAAAAGTTTAAAAACATATATTTTTTCTTATACTCCCAAAAATTATAATTTCAATAGTTATTAAAAATTGCAATGAATAAATAAATAAATAGATAGAAAATAAATAAAAAACAATGCAAATGTGTATGTAACTGCACTACCTGCAAGTTACTGCACAATGGCATTAGTTAACAAATTAGATTGTCACTACTCTCCAGCATAATATAAGACAAAATACATACAAAACACAAATTGTAAATGATAATTTCATTTATTAATGTAAAAAAGAAAAAGATAGCCAAACCAACTGGTGCTATGTTAAAATTGTCCCCTACACCTGATAACTAGTTGTGTGCCCCTTGGCAGCAGAAACTGCAATCAAGCATTTGTGGTAACTGGCAATAGATCTTTCATATCACTTGGAAGGAATTTTGGCTCACTTTTCTTTGCAAAACTGTTTTAATTAAGCATTTTTGAGCAACCTGTGTAAGGTTATGTCAAAGTATCTGATTTGGATTTCAGTCTGGACTTTGACTAGGCCAGCACAGCACATTCAAAGGTAGACTTGCAGATGTGTTTTGGATTGTTGTCCTGCTGCATAAATCAAGTGTGCTTGAGCTTCAGGGCACGGAAAGATGGCCAGACATTCTCCTTCACGATTTTCTAGAAGAGAGCAGAATTCACAGTTCCATCAATTACAGCAAGTCATCCTGAAGCAGCAAAGCAGCCCCAGACCACCAAACTACCACCACCATGTTTGACTGTTGACTAGTAAATGATTTTGTTGAGATGAAGAAATCATCTGCTTCTGTGGCTCTGTGATTGGTTGCAAACAGGAAACTTTTAAAGCTGTGATGGACAGGAATATCACTGAGGTCCACCTTATGTAACAGACTGATTCAGCTCCACTACCACAAAGACAGATACAGGAAATAATTTATATCTCATGCTACTATCATCTATAATTCAAATTATCTGTCTGGCAGAGTGTCATCTGGCAGATGTATTTTTAAGGACTGCATGGTAATCACCTCATAGCAAAAAGCCCCCAGTTGGGCATGACTGAGTGAGGTTTACATGTTCTCCCTGTGCCTGCACGGGTTCCTTATGGGGTACCTTGACTTCTTCCCACAGTCCTATAATACTGATTTCAAAATGACTATCGGTGTGAATGTGAACATGAATGCTCGTCTGAGTCTCTGCCACAGACTGGCAACCTGTCCATTTCAACTGCATGAAAAAAAAGTTCTAAATACAGGGTAAATAACGTATTTTGTATGGTAAACACAGCAGGGAAGTGGACTTTGACCATGCTGAATGAATAAACAAATGCAGAAAGCCTGCGGCACTTTGTCAGGTTTACATACTCAACCAAATTGAGAAAGACTTAAAAAGTGACATTTCCTGTATATGTATGCATTAATATTTTAGTTTAGTTTGGTTTGTAAGTACATAAATATCATTTCAGTTATTTTGTATTTTTTGAATATGCCATCACTCCTAGTTTAAATTAACCATTAAAACACAGGGATACCCCGAGGCCATTTCCACTCCTCCAAAATCAAGAAAACTACTAACAAGCAAATGTGTACAATGTTGCTTTTCTTTCTTCTTCTAATAATAACTGCCAATGATATTACGTAGCTTTATCCTTTTGTAACCTAAGACCTTGATACTGAAAAACAATTTCATAAACAATGCAGATTTCTTTTAAGTGCCACGCCGCTCCTCAGAGACGGTACATTTTTTTGCTGGCGACATTCAACCGAGTGATTTTGTTGCTATACTGAATGCTCTCAAAAGCTACCAGAGAAGCAAACGGAGCTGTCCTCACGCCATCTACAAAACATGCACTTCCTTGTATTGGTTTTAATTCTTACAAATATCAAACAGCACAGTAGACCTCGCAGCCGTTCAAAACGATCAAAGCTTCTATTGAGTTATTGACATCATCTGATAGCAAAACAGACAAACAGAAAATGTTACAATGCATGTCAAGCAACAATGACATCTTTAAATAGCATTAATTATATATAATTACAAAAGAAATGATCACATACAATGACAGCAATGCATGTTCATTAATCAAACAAATGCTGAAAAATATATATGATAATAAATAATTCTAACTGTAAGCACAAGTCAAACAAAATAAAGGAAAGGGAGGAGTCCAAAGTAACATAGATGATTTTGAGTTTTGGGCCAAAAAAAAGGGTGTTGTGATTCACTCAAACAGGTGAGCTTTCAGGTAATTTGTAGACACACATAAAGCTGAAAACTACTCAATTGCACATTGTAATGCTTCACTGCTCCAAACAGGCTCTCTGTAAATTAAAAAACAAAAAGCAACAAGTGCTAAAATCAAACCCAGTGAAATGTATTTAATCCAATTGCACTCAGTGAACAGTTTTACACCTTTCAAATATAGCATTTCACCTCACGCGGACCAGAAACTAGTCTCCCATTGACGGTGGAGCAGAAATTTATCGGTATCAACTCATCAATTGTGTTTTTTTTGTGCATGTTTTTAAGAATATAATATGCAAAGTAAAACAACTACACTTTGAGAGAAAAAAAATTACACAATACTGCAAATCTAAGACTTATATAAAAGGTCCGATAGTGGTTCTTGCTGGACCTGTGCCCTTCATTCACACAACAACAACAAAATAAAATTAAAATAAAAGTGTTGTCTTAACAATACTGACTTCTCCCAATTTATGTCATCCAGGTACAGTTTGAACAATTTAACATCGCTCATGTTTGATTTGAGTTAAAGAAGTGAGGAGGAAAAGAGAGCACTTACGACAATAGAAGGATCTAGCATTTACTCCTGCATTTCTAGTGGCAACAGTTCCTAGAGGCATAGGGAATGCTTCTTTAAAAAAAAACAAAAAAAAAAACAGCACACATCCTACATAACTTACATCATAAATAATTATTTAAAATAATGACCACAGCATGAATGTTCTACTGAAAAAATTCTACAGTGATGGCAAAAAATGGCCGATCTTTCTGCTGCCCACAGCATGTCAACAGAAATAAAGCCATTTAGAAAATAAAGAAAGTGTTACCCATTTTCCTGTTTTGCTGAGACTTGCCTTTTGTACATCTATAACAATGCCCTTTTGCTTTATATTCTGAATATTACGCTCCATAAGGTTGTGACCCCCACTGCGTTCTGTGCATGTATACTGAAATAATGCCATTGACATGAATTATCGAAACAAAACCGTAAAAACAGGTACAAAAGGTACAATTTAATCAAAGGACCACATGAAGAGGTGTGAAAAAGTCTTCAGTATTCACAGAAAAATATCAACTGAAGTAACTCACCGGACAGGAAGCGTCCTAAGTTTATATACATATGATAAGTAAAATTGAAAATAGATTTTCCTCTCTGTACATAGCACTGTATTCTTTCATCTTCCTCTTCTTTATTTACAAAGAACTCCTGCTCTCGAGGTCTCCCTTGTCTTTCAGTTCTGAGTGGATCTAGTCAAGAGAGATAATGTCAGATATGGAGCCATAAATGGCCGCTGCAGCTGCTGCTGCTTCCACTGAGGACCTTGATAATCCTGAAATGGAATGGCTGTCCCTGTCTCTGTCCCGATCCCGGTCTTTGTCGCGGTCCCGCAGACTGCTCGAAGACACCAAACTACTGGTGCTGCCGCTGTTGCTGCCTCCGTTGGTGGCAGCCAATGTGCTGCTCCCCGGGGTGCCTGGCTGTTCATGTAAGAGCTGAGGGGAGCTGTAGGGCAGGAAACGGTTGAGGAGCAGGTCATGATCCTCTGAGGCTGAAGCCGACGCAGCTGCTGCAGCAGCCATCACCATATTGTAATGCTAACAGGACAAAGAAGAGTGACAACAGTCAAGCATACTGTGAAGAAATATGTTAAAGCCTAGTGCTATATTTACAAAACTTCATGACACTGAAGAATGGGGAGAATAAAACAAACCAAAAAGCAAAAACAGATGACCAAGTTTTAGTTTTAAGACAAACTACTAAGACCTGTGCCTGTCTGACTGCATGCATGCTTTAATATAATAAACAGTAGTTCAACTAACAGCTGCTAAAGATAGAAGCAAAATGGCAAATTAAGTTGTTTTAGTGAATATTAAGTTTAAGGTTGTTCCCAAATGTCACTGGCATGTTTTCCTGTGGTGTTGAATGGCGCTGTGTGTGAGTGATGTGCGGGCAGAGAGTCGTGCAATTTGGAAAGAGGGATGCAAACCAAGTTACTTTCATTAGTAACAATCTACAAAGACAATCACTAAACGCCTCACATGAAGACACCAGTTGTTGTAAGAGGATAACAGAAAACTAGTTTTAGCAGAAATCTGAGAATCAGTTTTCCAAATGACCTCAGATTTGACACGGACCTCAGCGTACACCTGCAAGTAGAGCAGGGCGATATGGCCAAAAATATTTATCACGATATACATTTGAAAATTTGCGATAACGATATAACTGACGATATAATTGATGCGAGACAAAATACTCCACAACATTACTAGCGCAAAAAGACAACCTTCCATTAATTTTCACTTAAACAAGAAGCTGG